GGGGATGGAGGAGAGGGATGGAGGGGTGGAGGAGGATGGAGAGGGGTGGAGGAGGATGGAGAGGGATGGAGAGGGGTGGAGGGGGATGGAGAGGGATGGAGGAGGAGGATGTCCTCTGTAGTTGCGTTACTTTCTTTGTTTGCTGAAATCCATACCTTTTCAATAAACGTTAATCAAATACCACAACCGAGATTCAATTGGCACGTGCATTGGTGCTGAATTGCCATCTTAGAGCAACAGCAATGAGCAAACAGTCTGTTGTTGTATTTGATTAACATTTATTGAGTATGGATTTCAGCAAACAAAGAAAGACGCAACTACAGAGGACAAACATAGGTACAAGTTAGGCATTTAATAATTCAAATTTTTTGAAGTATTGACCTTGGGGGAATCGATTTAGTCGGAGCTAGATTCCACAAAGCCTGGTCTCAGGTGAAATTACAGAGGAGGAACTTCTGGATGCAATTAAAGACTTTAAGTCTGGGAAAACTCCAGGGTTGGATGGCATACAAGTTGAGGTATACCAAACCTTTTTTGATATACTCAGAGGACCGTTATTAGCATGTTATAACCACTCCTATGTAAATAATAATAATAATAAATGGCTATGTAAATGGTAGATGATCAGGAAGAAGGTCTGATTTCATTATTACTGAAACAGGATACAAGTGGGAAATATAAAGATTCAGGCCATTAACAAAATTGGAGGCCCCTTACACTTCAGTGTTGTGATGCAGAAATTCTAGCAAAATGTATAGCGCATAGAATTAAAAAGGTATTGTCGGATATTATTCATTCTAACCAGACAGGTTTTTTACATGGACGACACATTGGAGGTAAAATAAGGCAAGTACTTGAAACAATAGAACACTATGAAAAATCAGGGAAACCAGGCCTGCTATTCATAGCTGACTTTGAAAAGGCATTTGATAAAGTACGACTGGAGTTTATATATAAATGCCTGGAGCATTTCAATTTAGGAGAATCTCTTATAAAATGGGTTAAAATCATGTATAGTAATCCTAGGTGTAAAATAGTAAATAATGGCTATTTCTCAAAAAGTTTTATACTGTCAAGAGAAGTAATACAAGGGTTGTCCACTATCGGCATATCTATTTATTATGGCCATCGAAATGTTAGCTATTAAAATCAGATCCAACAATAATATCAAGGGATTAATCCAGGGCTTAAAAACAAAGGTGTCATTGTACGCTGATGATTCATGTTTTCTTTTAAATCCACAACTTGAATCCCTCCACAGCCTCATAGAGGATCTAGATACATTTTATAACCTCTCTGGATTACAACCAAATTATGATAAATGTACTAAATTACGTATTGGATCACTAAAAAATAAATGTTTTACATTACCGTGTAGTTTACCAATAAAATGGTCTGATGTTGATGTGGATATACTCGGAATACATATCCCAAATGAAATAAATGGTCTCACTCCAATACATTTTAATAGAAAGTTAGCAAAAATAGATAAGATCTTGCTGCCATGGAAAGGTAAATACCTGTCTATTTGTGGAAAAATCACCCTGATTAACTCTTTAGTATTAACCCAGTTTACCTATTTGCTTATGGTCTTTCCTACGCCTAGTGAACAGTTCTTTAAATTATATGAGAAAAAAATATTCCATTTTATTTGGAACGGCAAGCCAGACAAAATTAAACGGGCCTATTTATATAATGAATATGAATTCGGAGGACAGAAATTATTAAATATTAAAGCATTAGACCTATCACTAAAAGCTTCAGTCATAAAAAAGTTATTCTTAAAGCCGAACTGGTTCTCTAGCAAATTAGTAAGATTGTCTCACCCCATGTTCAAGAATGGCCTTTTTCCCTTTATTCAGATTACAACCTCTCACTTTCAGTTATTTGAAAGGAAATCATCTCCCAAATATCACAATTTCTAAAACAACCCATAGAAAGTTGGTTGCAATTTCAATTTAATCCTCCAGAAACGACAGAACAAATAATGCAACAAATATTGTGCTTAAACTCAAATATACTAATTGATAAAACAAATTTTATTTTTTGAAAGAATGTTTAAAAAAGGTATAATCTTCATAAATGATATCATAGGTAGGACTGGTGGAGTTATGTCGCACATGCAGCTAACAAAAACATATGGAAATGTCTGCTCTACCCACAATTACAACCAAATAATTGCAGCATTACCGCAAAAATGGAACAGGAAGTAGAAGGGGGAAAAAGTAAGGAACTTGTCTGTCGGCCCTGCATTAAAGACCATAATTGGTTAAAGAAAATTGTGATAAATAAAAAAGTATACCAGTTTCATTTAAGGACCAAAATATTGACAGCCGTCCCATATAGATTGCAAAATAGTTGGGAAGAGATCTTTGACGTACCGATTCCATGGCAAATTGTTTATGAACTGATACGTAAAACGACGCCGGATTCAAAAATTATTGTTATTTATATGGGGGATACAATCTTCCCAACTCTGCAGATTTTGCTGCGAAGAGACAGAATCATTAGATCATTTGTTTTGGTACTGTCCATTTGTAGCTTGTTTATGGTCACAGGTCCAATATTTACCTGGAGCTAACCCTGCAGATGGCACTACTGGGTGATCTGAAAAGTCATAGTCAATCGATCAATAATATAATAATACTTTTAGCAAAAAAAATTATTTTCAATTTACAATCTGTAGAAACAATGAGAATAGAAGGGTTCAGAACTTTTGTGAAACATCACAGTACAGTTGAAAAATATATGGCAAATAGAAATCCAATATGGATGGTGTTAAGAGATCGATGGGAGGTGTTGAATGGCGCTGAAGGATGGGACTAATAAGAACTAACAACAACTAATAACAACAGGATGACTAATGTAAAGCATACTGTGCCCATAATAAGTATATAGGTTATAGGTTGAGAGCTTTTGTGAAAGAGCACAGTTGGAAAGATATGGCAAACTGGATGGACATCATGAAAATTATCGGAGAGGTTGAGGGTAGAGGAAGTTCAGGAGTAAAAACAAACAAAATATAATGATTGTAAAATTGACTGTATCCATAAAATGTATATAGTATTTATAAGCTGGAAGTAGAGGCCTAAGCGTTGTTGTTCAGTAGTTTACTCCAATTAGGGGAGGGGTGGTGGGGTTGGAAAGTAATAAAGGGAAATGTTTTTTTTTTAAGGATATGTATATATATATGTATTTATATGTATGTATGTATGTGTATATGTATGTGTATGTATATATATATATATATATATATATATTTGCGGGGAAAAAAACATATGGGGGATTTGAAGTGATGCAGACAATTACATTGATGGAAGTTACAATCTATCTGCAATATTAAAGCTGATCTACCCCCTAAAAAATAAAAAATAAATTTAAAAAGCCTGGTCTCAGCTCCATGCCGTTGGTAAAGTTCATCAGAAAGTTCCTTCATCATGGAGGGGAGTTTAGTCTGCTATCACCCCAGTAGCTTTTGTATGCTGAACTCCCCATCATCAAATTATTGTTTCTGTTGTCTTGTTTGTGAACTACTGCACAGTGATACCACTTTACAGATGGGGAGGTCAAGATGGTCATGATGATCAAATGATTACAGATGCTTCAACATAAAGAAAACTATCTCAAGAGAAGACTGAAGTGATTTAACCTCTAGTCTGTATAGACTCCAGTGTGAAGAGGAAGGAGATCATTAGAACAGTAGGGATGGAGGGGTGCATTATATGTGAGATATCAGAAGTAGCCCCCTCACCGCCTCTGAATGATACATCAATAGGAGACCAGACCACTCGATTATGTTTAGGACATTTTATCCTCTCCAATGGTATACCAGGAGGAATTCTCTATATTACCGCTCTCAAACACATAACCCCTCTGGCTTATGTGACAGACTGAATAGTGTGACGCTCCACATCAGCCACTGTATCTAGTCTACTGCATAGCCTTTCCAGTATGAAAAATAAATTTAAAAAAATAAAATGTATGCACTCACTAACTGCAAGTCGCTCTGGATAAGAGCGTCTGCTAAATGACAAAAAAGAAATAGCCTGTTGAAGTCTCCACGTCAGCCACTGTATCTAGTCTACAATAGTCTGTTGAACGTCATTTTCCCTTCTCTGTGTCTCCCCAACAACCTCCTCCCACCTCCTCCTCCACCTCCCCCCTCCTCCACCTCCTCCCACCTCCTCCTCCACCTCCTCCTCCCACATCCTCCCCCTCCTCCACCTCCCCCCTCCTCCACCTCCTCCCACCTCCTCCTCTACCTCCACCTCCTCCTCCTCCTCCACCTCCTCCTCCCACATCCTCCCCCTCCCCCTCCTCCCACCAACCTCCTCCTCCTCCCACCTCCTCCTCATCCCACATCCTCCCCCTCCCCCTCCTCCCATCAACATCCTCCCCCTCCTCACCTCCTTCTCTCCCCCTCCCTCCCTCCCTCCCCCCTTCCTCCCTCCCACCTCCTCCTCCCACCTCCTCCTCCCCTACTCCAACAGGTCTCGCCACCTTATCTCCTTCATGGAGCTTCAATTAAAAGCAGCTGGGTGTTGGAAGGCTGAGAGCATTACCACAGCTGTAATTACTAGATTCACCATGTCAGTCTGCCTTCCACTTCCGCCGTCTGCACTGCGCTCTGTAATTCACCAGATGTACTTCCCCCTTCCTTCCCTGACATGCTGAAGATGAAAAATGTGATTGATTGTTATGAACCATATTCAAGTGTCCCCAAGGGAGTGGAGAACAACAGCGAGTGACACTCGTACAGTCATAAAGGAGCCAAAATGGCAGGCGATATCTGTAAACGCTAGAGAATAGATATAATTATTTTTCAATTCATTCCGTCTGCTCTGTGTGTGCCTAGCAGGAGAGATTCATTTACTTTTTAACTCATATTGTTTTTCTCTGCCGTTCCTCCGTTTCCATAGCAGCCTACCGCTATAAAAAGCTACTTTTTCAACCTCATTATTTAGCTAGTTTTCTTAGGCCACTCTGTGCGAGCTGAAAAAATGGTGTCGACTTTCAATGCAAGTAGGTGAATTAGAAATGACCGTAAAGTCTGTAGAAATTATGACTGACCACTGTAGGTTTTTTATGTATACTCCCTTTGTGGTATTACGGTCATCCATGGTTTGTAAAGTGTACCATCCCTTGTAGTGATGCTTTTACTACTATTCTGTCCACAATCTGTGTCAAGGCCAATTTATGTTAAGTCACATCTCCAGTGAAATTAGCATCCTCGCTAATCTGCCCCCCACGTCAGCCCTCCTGGGTAATCAAGTCACAGTGAGGGGGTTAATGCTGGGTAATTGTCAATCAATCACAGACAGAGTCCTCACAGAGACTGTCCTCTCCTCTCTCCTCTCCTCTCCTCTCCTCCCTCCCCTGCAGGCTTATCCGGGAGCACCTGGGAGAGCAGGAGGTGTCCATCACCCTGACCATTGACTCGGTGGAAGAGGCTGATCTGGGGAACTACTCCTGCTTCGTGGAGAATGGCAACGGCAGACGACAGGCCAACATCCAGCTCACAAAGAGAGGTGGGACACAGACACACACAACATCAGTCTACTGAGAGTTGGTTTAGAGAAGACATTGCCAAGCTGAGTTTTCACTTAAAATCATAATTATCCAAAGGTTATTCTGTCTGTTTCATTTTTTAGATACACGCTTAATGTCACATCAACGTCAAACATTGAAATGTGTTTTCAGGCTGGAGACAGACAGACAGACAGACAGACAGACAGACAGACAGACAGACAGACAGACAGACAGACAGACAGACAGACAGCTGTTATCTTTCAGCCAATTCAGAGAAGTAGCAGAGGGACAGGGTTCATCTCTGTCTGTTTTCCTTTCAAATCTTGGTGGTCAGAGCTCATTGGCTGACTAATGTCTACCAGAGCAGGGACTCAATGCATCTCCATCCATCACCATGGTGACAGCTTTAGCCTCATTCCAGAGCTTGTCCCGATCCCACAACACCACAACATCAGCCATCCACCAGACAGGGCCTGATCCCACAACACCACAACATCAGCCATCCACCAGACAGGGCCTGATCCCACAATACCACAACACCATTCATCCACCAGACAGGGCCTGATCCCACAACACCACAACACCAGCCATCCACCAGACAGGGCCTGATCCCACAACACCACAACACCAGCCATCCACCAGACAGGGGCTGATCCTACAACACCACAACACAAACCATCAACCAGACAGGGCCTGATCCCACAACACCACAACACCAGCCATCCACCAGACAGGGCCTGATCCCACAACACCACAACACCAGCCATCCACCAGACAGGGCCTGATCCCACAACACCACAACACAAACCATCAACCAGACAGGGCCTGATCCCACAACACCACAACACAAACCATCAACCAGACAGGGCCTGATCCCACAACACAAGCCATAAGCTAGACAGCCAACATGATAAAGTGTGATGTCAATAGCCATCAACTAGACAGCCAACATGATAAAGGGTGATGTCACTAGCCATCAACTAGACAGCCAACATGATAAAGGGTGATGTCACTAGCCATCAACTAGACAGCCAACATGATAAAGGTGGTTGTCACCAGCCATGAACTAGACAGCCAACATGATAAAGGGTGATGTCACCAGCCATCAACTAGACAGCCAACATGATAAAGCGTGATGTCACCAGCCATCAATTAGACAGCCAACATGATAAAGGGTGATGTCACCAGCCATCAACTAGACAGCCAACATGATAAAGTGTGATGTCACCTGCCATGAACTAGACAGCCAACATGATAAAGGGTGATGTCACCAGCCATCAACTAGACAGCCAACATGATAAAGGGTGATGTCACCAGCCATCAACTAGACAGCCAACATGATATAGGGTGATGTCACCAGCCATCAACTAGACAGCCAACATGATAAAGCGTGATGTCACCAGCCATCAACTAGACAGCCAACATGATAAAGGGTGATGTCACCAGCCATCAACTAGACAGCCAACATGATATAGGGTGATGTCACCAGCCATCAACTAGACAGCCAACATGATAAAGGGTGATGTCACCAGCCATCAACTAGACAGCCAACATGATAAAGGGTGATGTCACCAGCCATCAACTAGACAACCGATATGATATAGGGTGATGTCACCAGCCATCAACTAGACAGCCAACATGATAAAGGGTGATGTCACCAGTTATCAACTAGACATCCAACATGATGAAGGGTGATGTCACCAGCCATCAACTAGACAGCCAACATGATAAAGCGTGATGTCACCAGCCATCAACTAGACAGCCAACATGATAAAGGGTGATGTCACCAGCCATCAACTAGACAGCCACATGATAAAGTGTGATGTCACCAGAACCAAACAACCATCTTGCTCCTAGTGTGATGTCACCACCACCCTAACACCACTACTTGCTACTTATTCACCACCTCCTACCGCCCACCGCCACCTACACTATCCCACCCTCATCACTTAACTCCCATTTATTCCCCCATCACTCTACACCCCTCTTCCCCATCCTCCCTATCGCTATCCCCACCACCCTCATCCTCTCCCTCATTCCTAACCTCCTTTCCCTCATCCTCTAACCTCCTCTTCCCTCATCTCTATACCCCCTTTCCCTCACCCTCTACACCTCCTCTTCCCCATCCTCTCCTACCCCTCACCCACCCTCATCCTCTACCTCCTCTTCCCTCATCCTCTACCTCCTCTTCCCTCATCCTCTACATCCCCACTACCCTCTCCTCTACCCTCCTCTCATCCTACCTCCCCCACCCCCTCATCCTCTACCTCCTCTTCCCTCATCCTCTACCTCCTCTTCCCTCATCCTCTACCTCCCCACCCCCTCCATCCTCTACCTCCTCTTCCCCCATCCTCTACCTCCTCTTCCCTCATCCTCTACCTCCCCACCCCCTCATCCTCTACCCCATCCCTCCTCTCTCCCTCATCCTCTACCTCCTCTCCCCACCTCTACCTCCTCTTCCCTCATCCTCTACCTCCCCACCCCCTCATCCTCTACCTCCTCTTCCCCCCTCTACCCTACCTCCCTCCTACCCCCTCATCCTCTACCTCCCCCCTTCCCCTCTCCTCTTCCCTCTCTCTACCTCCCACCCTCATCCTCTACCCTCCTCCACCCCCTCTCCATCCCTCTACCCCCCTCCCTCTTCCTCTCCCTCTACCCTCCTCCTCTCCCCCCATCCTCTACCTCCTCTTCCTCAACTCTACCTCCCCACCCCTCATCCTCTACTCCTCCTCTTCCCCTCCCTCCTCTCCCACCTCTCTCTTCCCTCATCCTCTACATCCTCCCCTCTCCCTCATCCTCTTCCCTCCATCCTCTACCTCCCCTCTTCCCTCATCCTCTACTCCTCCCTCTCCACCCCTCATCCTCTACCCCTCTTCCCTCACATCCTCTACTTCTACCATCCTCTACCTCCCCCCCACCCCTACCCTACTCATCTTCCCTCCCTACCTCCTCTACTCTCCCTCCCACCCCCTCTCCTCTAATCCCTCTTCCCTTCCTCATACCCTCATCCCTACCTCTCCCCACCCCCTCATCCCTACCTATCTCCTCTTCCCTCATCCTCTACCTTCTCATCCTCTACCTCCCCACCCCCTCATCCTCTACCTCCTATTCCTCTACCCTCCCCACTCACCATCTAAACCACCTGTTCTTCCTCCAGCTGAGGCCTCCTTCCCTCTCTTCTCTTTTCCTCCTCTCCCCTCTCCTCTCATCCCTCCTCTCCTCCTTTCCTCCTCTCTCCCCTCCATCTCCTGGTTGAATCAAAGATCTTGGTGCCGTGTATCAGCGCACCGTCGGTCAGGTGTCAGAGATTACACTAAAGAGGTCCATTCTTCTCTGCCTGGCGCCCATAGCCCACATCCTGACGTTCTCCGCCCAGAGATTAAGACAAATGATCTCCCAGCGGTCGGGGAACGTGCCTCACTTACAGAGCGATAGATTTGACAGAGCTACTGGGCACCTCTCCATTCATCATGTTTCCCCCCACCTCCTCCTCACAGGGTTAGTGTGTTTGGAGAGACGGCTGCCATTGGGATTTGTCAGTGAGATGTGGGTGTGGTGTGGAGGGTGTGGAGGGTGTTGAGTTGTGGAGGGTGTGGAGCGTGTTGGCTGCACTGTGCTGCGTCTCCAGGGGAGAGAGGCGGAGGACGATGGATTGATTTCATCATTAGGAAGACAAAGGGTACCTTATTTGCCTGCTGGGTATTGAATGAAAGCATCCATTATAATAGATGAGTTCACTGGGGAAGCCTTCTCTGTGGAACTGGTTCAAGTAAATCCTTCAGATTTAGGAATGATTTGGGCTCCATGGTCCTTCAACTCAAGGGCCTGAGTTGTAGACCTCTGAATCACTGTTGAATAGAGCCGAAAGTCAATGTAGTATTAAACAAGCTATATAGAGGTCCAAGGTTGTTGTCACTATTGACTTTATGACCCTGCCAGAAAACAACCACAACAACAAGGCAGCCATTTTTGCCACTCTGAATAAAGATTAAGCAGCCAGTGTCAAATCGACAACAAATGGTGTCAAACCTGACAAATCTCTCAATAAAACCCATGGATTAAAATGATGAAAATAGCAGCCTTTCTATCCATCCGTCGTCGTTGTCTCAAGGTCGCAAGCCTCGGTGGTGCATCAAAACACACTGAAAACAATGTCCATTAAAGCCAAGGTCCACTGGCTTGTTTTCTCCGTCCCCGCCCCGAGCACTCCTCTCCTCTCCTGGCTCGGGCTCTCTGTAATTTTCTGTCACATTTCATGCACCCGTTGCCACAATTTAGCACCTCAAACAGAGTAAATTATTCTCACCTTGTACAGCCGATGCTGATAAATCAGTGAGGGCCAGTGTCATCTTCCAGGCCAGACCTGAATGCACCGCCACCGACCGAGGCTGAACGGCTGCCATTAATAAGTTATTAGAGCAGCAATGCCAGAGGATGTAATAAAGAAAACAATTATCAAAAGAACTCAGAGAGAGAGAGAGAGAGAGAGAGAGAGAGAGAGAGAGAGAGAGAGAGAGAGAGAGAGAGAGAGAGAGAGAGAGAGAGAGAGACGCCGATGGCCAGGCACCAAGTGCTTACATTAGAGGAGCAAGGACGATTTACAATCAGCTCCATCTCCCCACAGGCCACAGCACATCAATTGGCCCAGCAGCATAATAAATAGGATAAAACCCCAGCATAACAACTTGGTCTGATTCTTTATCTGCAGCGACCATGCCACATGAAAGAGACCGTTCATAGACGGTGTATATGTTTACATAAAGATGATTTGACACAGAGAGACAGACCGACATGCAAACAGACTCACAAGCACTAGTTCATACAAACGCTTGCACACACACACACAGAATGAAGAGTCCCTGGTTTGAGAGAAGAGGACCATTATTTTGGGCATGGCACAGATCATCAAATGGAAGAATTCCTAAACAAATGAAGTGAAAAAAATGTAACAGGTAGGAAATCAGACAAGAATCTTCAAAGACTGCTTTCTTCTTTAATTCAGCTAGCATCCTCTAATTAGCTGTCCTATTTTCATGTCTCGGTAGAGTGCTGTCTCTCATCCTTTCTTCCCTCTCTTCTTACTCTGTCTTTTAAGGAGAATGACTCCCTTGTTCCCCAGCAGAGACTTGTGTTATCAACAGGACACGTACCCAGAAAGAACAGGGTGACCCAAATCCTCAAGTTTGCATACTTTCAAAGCACTGATGAGACACTGCTGATTGGCTGGTCAGGCTGCGGTAAAGAGTGTGTTGATTGGACAGAGATAAGGTGGTGTTGTGTTTATTGTAACATCAAATGCTTTAGCTTGGATTTGTTTCACCTTTCCGTAAATATTTATTATTGTGTGTGTTTGTGCGTGTGTGTGCGTGTGTGTGTGCGTGTGTGTGTGTGTGTGTGTGTGTGCGCACGTCCGTGTGTCCAATGCAAAAATAATACTTAATTGGCATGACAGCAGACTGGTGCAACTATTTTGGATTGCTTCTAAATTTCTGAGACCTAAATATGACCAGGGTTTAGATTCAATCATCAATAAACATCACAAACAACCATCCAAGTGAATGGTAGCTTGGTCTTCCGAGTGGAACACAAGGAAAAGGGATTTTTTGAGATGTTTAAATCCAAATGGCCAGCCTAATCTCGTGCAGTTTATTCTCTGTATAAATCCTTTAATATACCAAATGAAATGGAACTGGGATGCCATCAAAGCTTTCTCAAAAGCTGCAAGCTCAAAAGAGGAAATAACTTACTATGTAAATATATGCACCACTGACAACTTTTACGGCCAGCAAAATGGATTTACTTATTCATGATTTTTAACACACGCACACACACAGACACAACCGTTACAACAATATACACTGTAAGTGATCATTGAATAACCACACTGAGACTACCATGAAGCACCACATCTCAGAAAGCCTGTTCACACACTCACACACACAAAACACACACAGAAACACACACAAAACACACACAAAGAAGACAGGAATGAAAAGAGGAGTGTAAATTCTCCTGAGCATAAGGTGATGAAAGAGTGTGTCGGAGGGATAGAGCAGCTCTCAGATCAAAGAGGCAGACGGGAGATCAGTTGTTGACACTTGTCTGGTTTACCACTCTGATGGCTGTCAAAAAAAAAAAACTTCTGGTTTACCACTCTGATGGCTGTCTAAAAAAACACTTCTGGTTTACCACTCTGATGGCTGTCTAAAAAAACACTTCTGGTTTACCACTCTGATGGCTGTCTAAAAAAACACTTCTGGTTTACCACTCTGATGGCTGTCTAAAAAAACACTTCTGGTTTACCACTCTGATGGCTGTCTAAAAAAACACTTCTGGTTTACCACTCTGATGGCTGTCTAAAAAAACACTTCTGGTTTACCACTATGATGGATGTCAAAAAAAAAAGAAATCTGGTTTACCACTCTGATAGCTGTCTAAAGAAAACACTTCTGGTTTACCACTCTGATGGCTGTCTCAATACAATGAATGCTTTTAAAGCTAAAATGTATCTTTGAAATGAAAGTCCATTGCTTATAGAATAGATATTCTCCGAAGGTGTCTTTTTAGGACGGGGGATTTGAGACAACAAGAGGAAAAGAATCTCAACTGCTTCTAGGGACCAGAATAATACCTGTATCTCTGTTTATTGTTGTAGTGTAGTGTCTGGCTAGCGAAGGTCACTTCAGGTCCTTGTGGTTATAGACTGAGATGGAAACATAATTGTCCTTGTTATGTCTGAGAAAAATGTAGATCTTATGGCCTAATAATAGGTTGAAGAGGGATGATGATTTGCCGACCATTGCTCTTTGCGTTCTTATTGAACACAAAAGGGCATGATCCCCCAGAATTTAGGAAAACAGTACACATTGATCTGAAAATGAATCAATTTAGTACACAGCTTTCATGCTACCAGTCCACACAACTGGCAGTAGAAATCAGTCCCTAGTTAAAAGATAAGGACTGAAATCAGCAGGACTGTGGCCCTCGAGAACCAGAGCTTTGCAGTGCACACCCCTCCACTAAACCTACAGTATGAAGCTACTCCACTACCATACACTGCCGCAGCCTCAATGTACAGGACTATATGATTTTAAATGGAACCCGTGAAGGATAACATTGTGCCTGAGTTACCTCGACACTCAGGCTTTCAGACGGACAGAGTTGAGATGGGGTGTATTTACTGAGATCAGAGTTTTGTAGAGTTTACTGTTGATGGCCATGTGAGATCCTGTCAGCTCTGGGAGGATGATGGATGGCTGAGGGAGTAAAAAAGTTCACTCTACCTCTCTCCGAGGCTGAGTCCCAAATGGCCCCTCTTCCCCACATAGTGCCCGACTTTTGACTATAGCCCCATAGGCCCTGATCAAAAGTAGTGCAGTATAAAGGGGAGAGGGTGCCATTTGGGACGCAGCCTTGTGCCAGTCTATATTATACCACTGCTCTACTGACTTGGCTTGCTTGGTTTGGTGCCCCTACAGCGTTACACTCACACCTTTAATGGAGCTTCCCTTGTCAAAGGGAGGTCACCGTCAGGTCCTGGCCTGTCGTGGGCTAAAGCTGGGGCCTTCAGGCTATGGCTGACCTGGGCTGGTGCGTTGCTGAGGTCTAAACACCAAATAGTCTTAGGAGACGTAGTTCACTCAAAGTAGAAAATGTACCTCGTGTTTTGGCTACCTAAAGAATAGTTGATGAACTAGGACTCAGTGACCCAAGATTTGGGTTGGTTAGCTTAGCTTAGCATAAGCATAGTTGAAGGTATCAATGGGAATGGTAGCTAGGAACCCTGTTAGCATGTTAGCAGCTAGCTGGAGTCTGGCTTGATCTCTCTCATGTTCTCACTGTGCTAATGAAGTATCCAGAGACAATAAGCAGTGACAACATGCTGTGTTTGAGGATGTATTTGGTGAGTGTGCTTGCTTTTTGGATTTGATCAAGAAAGATTAGCGAAGTAAACGTTACCGTCTTCTCTCTTTTTCTTCCTCTCTCTCTCTCCCCCTCCCTTCTCTCACAGCAGAGCTTATGTACACGGTGGAGCTGGCGGGAGGCTTGGGGGCCATCTTGTTGCTGTTGATCTGCCTCGTGACCCTCTACAAGTGCTATAAGATGGAGCTCATGCTCTTCTACAGGAACCATTTTGGCAGCGAGGACATCGACGGAGGTAAGATACTCTCTCAAGTCACACTAGGGCCAACAGCACTTCCCATTATAAGCCCTAAATTAAGTCTACAGTACACTCTTAGAAAAAAAGGGTTCCAAAAGGGTTCTTCGGCTGTCCCCATAGGAGAACCCGTCTTTTTTAATGTGGCTATTGCTCGAAAGAGGATTTTAATGTAATTATAAAGGTAGGAAGATGTGTTTTTCTACAAATCCTAACTTGAGATAGAAATAAGAACGTAAGGGTTCTAAATTGAACAGCAATAGATTCTAATTGTGAGGATGAGTTAAGAATAGTGAATGAGTTAAGGATGAGTATTCATCAATCTGGTCTGGCGGTTTCATTTGATTTCCGTTAATGAGTCTTTCAAGTGGAGGGCTAGGGTTACAATGAATTCAGTGAACAAGATTACTTTTGGGGTGTCTGAAGGATGCCGTGTGGAGACTGGAGAGTGTCATTAGCCGAGAAAGGTATCCTCCGCTTTGCTCTTTTCCTCCCCCAGCCCTCCGTTTCCCACCAATCACTTTGTCTTGATTGTTGATGCATCAGACATGTCTGTGAAAGTCATTACCAGGCCTGTAGTGTGTTGGGCTTTGGGACAGAAGTGGAGGCTTTGAAATAATAGAAGGTTTCAAGGCAGATAAAAAATGTTGGCGCCACAGAGGAGAGAAAAGGGAACCAGAGCCTTAAACCTAATGCTAAACAGCAATTGTCTCCTTTAATTGCGCCACCCGAGTGAGCAGAGAGGAGAGGGAAAGAGATTTTCAATTTGCTCTCTGTTTAAAGGGATCAGTTTCAATAAGCCACATAGTGTTGCCCATGGCCGTGGCTCCCTTGAGAGAAGATGGAAAGACACATACTTTCTCTTTAACGCTCAGGACCGGGTGATTACTCCTTCCCTGGATTGTATTCCCCCCTCGTCCCTCAAGCTCCTCTTTCATTGGCCACAAGGACTTTTACTTCATGACCATCACAAGCCATTCAGGAAAAGCCTTTTTCCCCTCTCTCTCTTCTCTGTGTCTGACTGACAACAGCAGAATTATCAGGTTCGGTTAAAAGCGGTTCTAAGTCTCTGTTCGTATGGGTGTTTGCTGGGGTTGTATTGCATAACGACCACACACACTTTACAGATGCATGAGCTTGTCGAGTTGTGACTTGAACGTAACCCTTATTAGCATATCATTACATTTTTACATTTTAGTCATTTAGCAGACGCTCTTATCCAGAGTGAGTGCATACATTATTATTTTTTTAATTTTTTTTCATACTGGCCCCCCCCGTGGGAATCGAACCCACAATCCTGGCGTTGCAAACGCCATGCTCTACCAACTGAGCTACATCCCTGCCGGCCATTCCCTCCCCTACCCTGGACCAATTGTGCGCCGCCCCATGGGTCTCCCGGTCGCGGCCGGCTACGACAGAGCCTGGATTCGAACCAGGATCTCTAGTGGCACAGCTAGCACTGCGATGCAGTGCCTTAGACCACTGCGCCACTCGGGGACCACCATATAATGCTGTATATGATTGTAGCGGCAGGTAGCTTAGTGGTTAAGAGCGTTGTGCCAGTAACCGAAAGGTCGCTGGTTCTAATCCCCGAGCTGACTATGTGGAAAAATCTGTTGATGTGCCCTTGAGCAAGGCACTTAACCCTAATTGCTCATGTAAATGCTTTGACTTTATTTAAATCATGCAGTAGGTTGAACTTGATCATCACTTAGGGATGAGCAATGACTTAACATAAAGATAACAAATACCTTATCTCTTATTATAAACAGAACTTATGTAGGAATGCTAATGAGCCCAACTCCCCCTGCAGTTTTTTAGCTTTCATGGCTAATGATGTAGGTTGCACTATATTCAAAACAATGTGGAAGGAGCCCAGAGGTTCCTGCTAAAAGTCCCTGAACACTCTTTTTAATAGCAAGTTCAAAAGTTCTCTCACTATCTGTGGGCCTGCCAGTACGCATATGCAGCCACAGCTATGGATGGATGTAAACAATGTATGCATCAGTCATGGCCTTTTACTTCCGAGTCAGTGAGTGGGATGGATGGATGCTGAGGGAGGTGGAACACGCGGGACGGAAACAGTTCCCCTTCTCAGCCCTCTTAAGTTTGCCTCATTGGACCTCAGAGAGGAAGGAGAGGAGGGAGAGGAAGGAGTCACTGGTGGAGATTGATTATTCCTCCTCCGAATCTCACCCATACCTGCTCTCTCTCTTTCTCTCTCTCTTTCTCTCTCACTCCTTCACACAGTAACCACTCAGAGATGAGTGATTCAGTTCTACTGAAATAGATTCTGATCTACCTACATGCTGTTTCTCTCTTAAAGGGGCCGTTGCACTTTTACTGTATAGAAAGATATTTTTATATAGGTTCAGATTCCTCCTCTTCTCTCCTCTTATCTCTTCTCTTTTCTTGTCCCCTCCCTCCCATCCCCTCTCCTCCTCTCTTCTCCACTCCTCTCTTCCTCGCCTCATCTCTCCTCCTCTCCTCTCTTCCTGTCCTCTTCCCTCCTCTCCTCACATCTCTTCTCCCCTCCTCCTTTCCCCTCCTCTCTTCCTCATCTCTCTTCCTCTCCTCTACTCTCTGTGTTGTCGGGACCCCATCCTGGTCTAACAGCTCCCCTCCAGTAGGTACAAGGTTCTGAAGGACTGCAGTCTGTGGATTATCCCTTTCCCTGTGGTAATAAGAGAGGTTTAAACCCCCTCTCTAATGAGTTTACCTGAGGGACACCACAGAGGAGGAGGGAGGGAGAGAGAGAAGAGAGAGAGAGAGAGAGAGAGAGAGAGAGAGAGAGGAGATAGATAGAGAGAGGAGAGCTATAGAGATAGAGAGAGAGAGAGAGTAGAGATCGTAGCTCGACGAGCCGCTCGCTGCTCATCTACGCGCTCGTTCCTCTTCTATATCGTCTTCCTCTCGCGATATAGAGCGCGCCTCTCACTTTTGTTGTCTCTAGTCCCTGGGGAACCCCTCTCTTCTCTTGTGTCTCTCCCTCTATTCCACTTCCTCTGGCTCGTTGCCGCCGCAGCTTTCCTGCTTTGTGTCTCATTGAAGTGCGCCGAAGCCGGAGCCGCTCCTCTCTTCTCTCTCCTGCACGGGGAAAACATTACCACTATCACCTCCCATGTTGGGCTTTTCTCCTCGCCGTTTAATCCTTTCAAATCCTGCATCAATCATATTTTTCATGTGACTGGCTGCCGTGCAGATAAAGGATGTGTCGGGGCCATTTTGTGCCTAGGGAAGCGTTCAGTTTCCTACCTTAGCCCAGTCACAGTGAACACAGTGACATTGTTTGGCAAAAGAGGCTGGATTGTAATAAAATGTACCCAGAGGAGTGGGAGCTGGCAGTGAGGTCAGTCAGTGTGACGCAGTTATCATGTTTCTTCCTGCTGTTCCGCTATGCAGAGAGAGCTAAGATACTGTACATCTTCACCACGTTGATAGTCTGCAAATCTGTCATGGTTATCGATCCCTGACCATGTGACCTGACCAGGAGAAACAGACCAATGACAAGTTGCCCTACTTATGATGACATGGGTTTGGTCGTGGTGCGTGATGTCTGTGTCATATGATAACTAAAAATAACCAATGCAGTCATGAGAAGTCCAGAAGTACAATTGAGTCAGAAGCCTTATTGAGTCTGAAGCCCTATTGAGTCTGAAGCACTATTGAGTCTGAAGCCCTATTGAGTCTGAAGCCCTATTGAGTCAGAAGCCCTATGGAGTCAGAGTAGTCTGTGTGACTAATATCCTCTATAGTGAAGTAATGGACTGGTCTGTGTGACTAATATCCTCTATAGTGAAGTAATGGACTGGTCTGTGTGACTAATATCCTCTATAGTGAAGTAATGGACTGGTCTGTGTTACTAATATCCTCTATAGTGAAGTAATGGACTGGTCTGTGTGACTAATATCCTCTATAGTGAAGTAATGGACTGGTCTGTGTGACTAATATCCTCTATAGTGAAGTAATGGACTGGTCTGTGTGACTAATATCCTCTATAGTGAAGTAATGGACTGGTCTGTGTGACTAATATCCTCTATAGTGAAGTAATGGACTGGTCTGTGTTACTAATATCCTCTATAGTGAAGTAATGGACTGGTCTGTGTGACTAATATCCTCTATAGTGAAGTAATGGACTGGTCTGTGTTACTAATATCCTCTATAGTGAAGTAATGGACTGGTCTGTGTTACTAATATCCTCTATAGTGAAGTAATGGACTGGTCTGTGTTACTAATATCCTCTATAGTGAAGTAATGGTCTGGTCTGTGTGACTAATATCCTCTATAGTGAAGTAATGGACTGGTCTGTGTTACTAATATCCTCTATAGTGAAGTAATGGACTGGTCTGTGTTACTAATATCCTCTATAGTGAAGTAATGGACTGGTCTGTGTGACTAATATCCTCTATAGTGAAGTAATGGACTGGTCTGTGTTACTAATATCCTCTATAGTGAAGTAATGGACTGGTCTGTGTGACTAATATCCTCTATAGTGAAGTAATGGACTGGTCTGTGTGACTAATATCCTCTATAGTGAAGTAATGGACTGGTCTGTGTTACTAATATCCTCTATAGTGAAGTAATGGACTGGTCTGTGTTACTAATATCCTCTATAGTGAAGTAATGGACTGGTCTGTGTTACTCCTGTAGATAATAAGGACTATGATGCCTATCTATCCTACTCCAAAGTGGACCCGGACCAGTGGAGTCAGGAGACCCGTGAGGAGGAACGCTTCGCCCTGGAGATCCTCCCCGACGTCCTGGAGAGGCATTATGGGTATAAACTGTTCATTCCAGACAGGGACTTGATCCCGACCGGAAGTAAGTTTTGTACGTTTTTGGTTTATTTCCTGTTTAAATCTGTTTCTAATGTTGTCGTTTTGTTGTGTATATATCACGTGACACATTTTTGCATCTTACTTTAACATGTTAATTACAACGTAACAGCATGTAGCATTCAGCCGTGGATTTTGAGTTGTCTGTGGTATAGCTGAAAATGTGTAATTAGTGGGTAATAATCAACCTTGTAATTATATTGCATTGATCCAGTCTAAATCATATCTTTATGAAAGCTGTCTCACAACCAATCAAAGGGGATTTCTGCATGTTTGACTGCAGTTTACTGGTACACACTTTGCACCTGTGATAGGATCATGATATTAGATGATAATGCATCACGATCACTGATACTATTCCAGTACTCTCAATTAGAATCCTTTTCTTTGCTTTTGCTCATTTGTGTCACATTCTTGTCTGTCACATTTGTCATGGTAACGGTTTATTTCCTATCAGTTTGTGTCGATGTTACGATTTGAGTCAGTTTGACTTAAATGTTTGTGTTGTTAGGGGGACTGTGTTAATATGGGATAAGTGGCACTAACCCAGAGCTAAAATACAGACCTTCTAAGGACATTTGTTCTCTTCTAAGACCTCAAAAGTCAATGGATTTGTCTCGAGGCAAATTAACCTATTTTTTTCTGAGGCAAATAAAGTTATTTGTTTCATTCAAAATGTATGCTATGTTGAAAGTTTGAGTATAAAGTACTCAATGGAAATAATAGTGTTCATAGCCAATGAATTGTTTAAAATGCATCTATTACAATGTAATACATAGTATATAGACTGACAGAGTCTCCTTCGGTCCTTATGCCACAACTCCCATATTAAACTGGGATAAACGTGTTTTGTTATCATTAGAAAGAAAAGGCGGAGTTGAGAGAAACTAAGCACAGTTTATCTAAGTAACTTATTTAAGTCCCCTGACTCTAACTTCCTCTGATGCCTTTCTGCAAATCTACCTGATCGCACCTTTTGAATGTTGAACTATTTATGTTTAGGTTTCACCAATGATCATTTCCAGGACGATTCAAGACTCCTTAGAGGTACTCTCATTCCCCCAGCCACTTACCATTACTTGTGTCAGCAACTAGCCATAACCAGCCTCACCCATCGTGTGAGAGAGAGAGAGAGAGAGAGAGAGAGAGAGAGAGAGAGAGAGAGAGAGAGAGAGAGAGAGAGAGAGAGAGAGAGAGAAGAGAGAGAGAGAGAGAGAGAGAGAGAGAGAGAGAAGAGAGAGAGAGAGAGAGAGAGACTTTGTGTTAAAGTCCAATTACAGAGAACATCCAGACTGACTTATCATAGTGAGGTGATGAGAGGGCTTTGTTGCTGCCTGCTCCTTCTAATCAGCCTGCTCTCTGGCTCTCCTCTATCCCCAGGGGCTCAGCTGAGCATAAGGCATGAAAGAGAAAAGGCCATTTGAGTTTTAACCTCCCCATGGAGAGGGAGGGAGATGTAGAGGGCTGCACAAGGAGAGGGAGGGAGATGTAGAGGGCTGCACAAGGAGAGGGAGGGAGATGTAGAGGGCTGCACAAGGAGAGGGAGGGAGATGTAGAGGGCTGCACAAGGAGAGGGAGGGAGGGTGATGTACAGGGCTGCACAAGGAGAGGGAGGGAGGGTGATGTAGAGGCTGCAACAAGGAGAGGGAGGGAGGGAGGGAGGGAGGGAGGGAGGGAGGAGGGAGGGAGGGAGGGAGGGAGGGAGGGAGATGGCTGCACAAGGGGAGGGAGGGAGGGAGATGTAGAGGGCTGCACAAGGATTGGGAGGGAGGGAGGGAGGGAGGGAGGGAGGGAGGGAGGGAGGGAGGGAGGGAGGGAGGGAGGGAGGGAGGATGGAGATGTAGAGGGCTGCACAAGGAGAGGGAGAAAGTGAGGGAGGGAGATGTAGAGGGCTGCACAAGGAGCGGGAGGGAGGGAGGGAGATGTAGAGGGCTGCACAAGGAGCGTGAGGGAGGGAGGGAGGGAGGGATGTAGAGGGCTGCACAAGGGGAGGGAGGGAGGGAGGGATAGTGAGGGAGGGAGGGGGAGAGAGAGAGATGGCCAGCCCTGTTGTCTCAGAGAGCAGCACCTCTCACAGTAGGGGCTCTTTGATTAGAAAGGGAAGCATAGTTCATCCTGTCAACCTGTAGTGGAAGAGCCTGAGTGTTTGTTTCTGACAGGCCCCCAGCAGCCTCACTAACAGCAGGCTTTAGCAACCTCTGCTCTTCTGGCATGTAGGGCACACGCACATTGGCTAAATTTGGCTCGATGATTTATACTGTTACAAACGAGAAACACTGTGTTTAGAAACGGCAGCTTGTATAGTGTATGTTAGAGTGTGTTTCACTACACATCCATGCACGTGCATACACACACACAAGACACACACACACGACACACACACACACACACACACACAAGACACTAGCTCTTTCTCTCCTTTTCACTTTATCTCTCTCTCCCTCTCTCTCTCTCACATACAAACACCTACCCACAGATCCATTTCTCTCATATTGTTATCACTATTGAGTTATTGTGACTCAGTAGGTCTGTAATAGCCATTAGAGCAGCAGGTTAGAACATTCAGTATAACAAGGCTATGGGCTCTGATAGGTCAACCTATTGTCTGATGTTGTGTTTGTGTGTCTTGTGGTTTTTGGCTTATTTCCCATTCTCTCTGTTTTTCTCAATATTGGCTTATTTATTTATTTTTAACGTAAAATGCATGCTCTATGTCCTGTTATGATGCATTAGATTTAAAGGCAACACTTCCATTTAAATATCCTATTTAGCTAGTCAAACTCAATAAAATGCAATAGCAGGCAGCATCAACAAGTGGATGATAGACCATATCTTACATACTATACATACAGACTAGAATATGTGATATATTTATATGATATATGATATATTTAGCTGTATTATTATTTTGAATACGGTAATATTTATTCCGTTCTTGGCCTTTTTTAAAGAGCTTAAGTCTTTCCCCCCTTCTGTATCTCTTCGCCTCTTCGCTCTTGTATTCCCCCCGCTTCTGTAAATAAAAGTTCCCTAAATCTCGTATCGAAGGGATTAAATCAACTCTCTCGATCCTCTCTCCCAACTTCTGACCGTCTCCTTCTCCCTCTGTATCCTTCTCTTCCTAAAAACTGTATCAACTCTCTGTAAAGCCTCTCTCTGTATCTCTCCTTCCCCTCCCTCTCTCCTTAATCCCTCTCTCCTTCCCTCCCTCCTCTCTGTATCCCTCTCCCTTCCCTCCCCTTCTCTCTTATCCTCTCCTTCCCTCCCCTCTCTCTCTGTATCCCTCTCCTTCCCCCCCCTCTCTCTCTGTATCCCTCTCCTTCCCTCCCCTCTCTCTCTGTATCCCTCTCCTTCCCTCCCCTCTCTCTCTGTATCCCTCTCCTTCCCTTCCTCCCCTCTTTCTCTCACTCCCTCTCCTTCCCTCTCTCCAGCCTATATCGAGGATGTGGCGCGCTGTGTGGACCAATCCAAGCGCCTCATTATCGTCATGACACCCAATTATGTGGTGCGGCGTGGTTGGAGCATCTTCGAGCTGGAGACCCGCCTCCGGAACATGCTGGTCACCGGGGAGATCAAGGTGATTCTGATTGAGTGTGCCGAGCTGCATGGCATCATGAACTACCAGGAAGTGGAAGCGCTCAAACACACCATCAAGATGCTGACCGTCATCAAGTGGCGTGGCCCCAAGAGCAACAAGCTCAGCTCCAACTTCTGGAAACACCTGCAGTACGAGATGCCCTTCAAGCACATGGAGCCCATCATCAGCAACGAGCAGGTGCTGGACGTCAGCGAGCAGGGCCCCTTCGGCGAGCTCCAGACCGTCTCCGCCATCTCCATGGCAGCAGCCACCTCCACCGCCATGGCCACGGCGCACCCGGACTTGCGGAGCACCTTCCACAACTCCACTCTCAACTACCACACCCAGATGAGGCAGCAGAAACATTACTACCGCAGCTACGAGTACGACATGCCCCCCGGCGGCACACTGCCTCCCCTCTCCACCCTGGGTAACCAGCACACCTACTGCAACATCCCTATGACTCTGATCAACGGACAGAGGCCCCACGGCCAGGCCAGGACACCCAGAGAACAGAGCATCGAGGAGGCACACGCCAATAACGTCATGCTACCGCTGCTGCCACGCGAGACCAGTATATCCAGTGTCATCTGGTGACAGCACCAGGCTGGCGTAGGGACAGATGGGACATATGTAGAGGGAGATTTAGCTGGCAGAGTGTGTGGTGGTGGTGCGACAGAGACCCTTAGAGCACTAGAGAACGCTGCTGTGGAATTTGCACCAGGATTCAAAGGGGGAAATCAACAACACAGGACAAGTCATTCTGTCAGACTAAGACAACGTTTGTTCGACAAGGACTAAGGAGGATTTGGCGTGAAAAGGAGAACCCGTTTGGTTTGAGATGCCTGTACACACACACAGACACACACAGACACCAACGCCGATGTTCATTTACCCAGAAACTCAAGGAATACAGGGTCTTGTACATATATTTTATATTTCTTAATAGCGTCAGTATTTTTCTGTTATTTTCTTTTACCTTTCATTCACCAGTTTTTATCATCAAATTTCTACGTCTGTTTTGATTTATGGTTTCAATTTTTTTGTATTTGGGTATGAAAGTGAAACGATCGTCTGTGAGGTCTATTGGCTGAACTGTTGTGATTTTGATCTTGACTTGTAGTGGAACAAGTGTAGTTTGAACGCTCTTTGTTTTTTAACAGTTATGGCAAGAAAATGTCATTTTTTGTTGTCCTGGTTACATAGATGGAATCTTCTTTTATTGGGACTCTTAAACAAAACTAGATTATGCAACAGCGGAAGAGGCCTGGGAGTATGCAAGATACGAATAAATGAACCGACCAATCAGGACACTACAGAGACTGGTGCTAGACTTGGTGTGCAAGTGTTGCAGCTCTCACAAGCATAGTGACATTTTATTTTCAAAAGACAGCCTTTCTGTTCAGCTTAACAGAGAAATATATCACCCTAAAAACAACTATGTGTATTATTTTATGAGAAAGTATATTTTTGTAACAAAAATATTTGCTTGGAAGTACATACTTATTCACATTCTCATCCCACTAATGACAGAAATAGAGTAACGTGCATTCTGTTTTCTACATTATTTTGCTAAGCAGTTCCCTAATTGCATAGCAGACAAAGTGGATTTTTGAGTCCTTCAATAAATATCTTATCTTACTGTAAAGATGAAGAAATACAAAAGCATTTGAGATGTTTTCATCAAGTCCTAATATCATTGTTGGGTGGGGGGCAATGTATATTTGTGTTTCAAAGACTTTTCCATAACAGAGTAGTGTGCATAGTAACTAGATGTATTCAACCTGATATATGTCAATGTATTTAAAGAAAAAACACTGTTCACACTCGAAAACGTTCATCAAAGCAGATTCGTGATAAGTATCTTCATTTCCCCACCGCACATGAATACCAGATAACCTCGATGTAGTGCCTCCCTGATTTCTATGGAGAAGGACAGCAGCCATTTGAAAAGACGACACACTGAACACAGTTGACTTCCAAGATATGTTCAGAGTGTTGTTGTCATATGTTCCTATAAGAAGAAATCTTTAGCAAACCATGTGACAGTCTGTCAAACAGACCAAAATACAAGAACAAATCATGGCGTTAGACCCAAGAGAAATGTATCTCCACACATGATGTTCAAATTCAACTTAAACCCCTTGAAATATCCAATTGTCCGTAGCGGTATGAGGAAATTCAAGATTATCCTCATTATTCTTCAAGCAAGTGAGACCAAAGCTAAAATTGTGCTTGTGAAGAAAAAAGATCTGAAATCCACCACATGATCCACATTAGGGCTTGTTTTAGGGCTTTACAACGTTTTCTGGTTAGTTTCAGATTGGCCAAAATATGATGTCATGAAGTCCAATAAAGCAACACTAAGAACTACTCAAAGACCCCAATGTTGTTGTTTACCAGGACTTGGTAAAGCTTGGTTGGGAGGTGCTTTAGTGGTGAGATTAGGCCTGTGTTGGGTCGGTCCTGACACAACGCATGTCCCTATAATGTTGCCATGGTTAAGCTAATGTAAACAGTCTCCAAGAGAACCTCTGAAAGAAATAAAGCGACAGACTGTGCTATCATACACTCCACAATCAAGTCATACATAGTTCTGTAAGTCGCTTTGGATAAAAGCGTCTGCTAAATGGCATATTATATATTATTATTCTTGTGAACCCTATGATGTACGAAACGATCATTTACGGGATCCGACACAGTTATTCGATATACTGTAATATCTGGTATCGTATCATTGTTTTATTGATACTTTATAATGTTAGCAGCTTCTAAACAGAAACAGTGAGGTAGTGTTTTCAATCCCTTGTAGTGCCAAACATTATGCAAAGTGAATTAACCTATACACAATGAGTAAACACTGTAAGAGATTTCTTTGTCCCCCTCGGTCTGCAAAAATGATTGGTTTTTCAATTTCCCTTTGGTTTAACTTTTCAGTGTTGGTCTTTTTCTTCAATGTACTGTACTCAGTTGGCTGCTTGGTATATCACTGAGAAGAACGTCCATTTCCAACTGTCATAACTGCCTGACCTAACAGAAAACAAACAGTAACGTTTGATCCATTCGAGAGAGCGCTCCTTTAAGGTGTGGATTTCTTGTATTCTATGACATTGTGTATATAAATCAAAAATGGTAATAAGATGAAGACAATCTAGCCACATTCATAAAAAACGATGTTTGCATTTTCAGAGTGAGTGGCAAACTTGTTTTATGAACCTTTCTGGTAATGATAATAATGATATTAATGATGATCATAATTAATAATATATAGCACAGAATTATTCCAGGCACTTTCACAACTCTGAGACAAGATTACGGTTCTATTGTCTCTCCAGTTTCTGATTCATTTCGTTTTTTATTATGTACCTGCAATGTTAATTAAAGAGATACTATTATTATTAATAATAAAAACACATTTAATAATTGTTCTTTAGACCTCTCTACTTGCATCTTGACATCAACAGTCTTGTTATGATGGGACACCAAGTCAAATGCTGATTGCAATCGCTGATTTTCATTTAAAGGAACTGCCCGGTGAAAATCTAACTTTTATAAGTTCATATTCTGTTAACACATATCCAAATAATGTTGCTGACTCGTATACTTGTATTTGTGGCCAAAGCATACATTGGAGGAGAAAAAAACCACTTCCAAAACCCCATCTCAAACTTGGATCTCAAACAGACCGTTTAATAAATGCTTGCTATTTCCTCATAGAACATGATGTCATCTCCCTGAGGAGGATGAGCTGGCCAATCAGCGGTCTAGAGGAGGATGAGCTGGCCAATCAGCGGTCTACTTGCATTAATAATTTTAATGACCGGTATACACCCACACCATTCTACCATTCTGTTGTTGGGGTACGCCCACACTATTCCAACACAAAAAAAAGCTGCTTTTTAACATATTAAATTAAAACATTTTGGAAGGAAAACTATTTAATTATAGGTCATATTTCATAGAAATTTAGAAACACTGGGCAGTTACTTATTCACTAATGATGTAGTTATGATGTAGTTCCTCTCCCATTACATTTAGCTTCTGCTAAATTCCTACTCCACTCTTTGGTGTTGAGGTAACTGGGGAAACTGTATGTTGCAGGAAAACACTGTAATCTTGAGCCCCGGATAGATCCAACCATCACTGTAATGTTGCCCCCCCGGCACTGGCTGTGACGGCAGAATTCAGGCCGCTATACTGGACCACAGCAGCAGCAGCTAAGCTTGTGATCATGTCTGTACATCACACACACACACACACACACATACACACTCACACAAGTACACACACACACACACTCAGAAGACTGAAAAGATTTAGCATGGGTCACCAAATCCTCAAAACATTATACAGCTGCACCATCGAGAGCATCCTGACTGGTTGCATCACCGCCTGGTATGGCAACTGCTCGGCATCCGACCGTAAGGCGCTACAGAGGGTAGTGCGTACGGCCCAATACATCACTGGGGCCAAGCTTCCTGCCATCCAGGACCTATATAGTAGGCGGTGTCAGAGGAAGGCCCAAAAAATTGTCAAAGACTCCAGTCACCTAAGTCATAGACTGTTCTCTCTGCTACCGCACGGCAAGCGGTACCGGAGCGCCAAGTCTAGGTCCAAAAGGTTCCTTAACAGCTTCTACCCCCAAGCTATAAGACTGCTGAACAATTAATCAAATGGCCACCCGGACTAATGACCCACCCACACACTTTTTATTACATTTTTTACTTTTGTTTATTTAGTCAATATTTTCTTGAACTGCATTGTTGGTTAAGTAAGTAAGCATTTCACAGTAAGGTCTACACCTGTTGTATTCGGCGCAGGTGACAAATAAAATGTGATTTGATTTGAATTTGATACACCACAAACATTCACATGCACACACACACACTAAAATATTGTAATCATGGATGTGTCAGTGTTCACAGCTCTTCGTATTGGACGACTTCAACGTCCCGACGTCTGCCTTCGATTAATTTCTTTCCAACTCTTTCTTTCCTCTCCTTGCCTCTTTTGACCTCACCCTTTCCCAGTCCCACTCCCACTCACAAGGCAGGCAATACGCTTGACCTCATCTTTACTGGAGGCTGTTGGCCTACTAATCTCACGGCAACCCCCTCCAGGTCTCTGATCACGTTGTTTCCTTTTCTGTCTCCCTCTCCCTCTCCTCCAACGCTAGCCACTCAGCCTCTACCCAGTCAGGCTTCAAAACGGGTCACTCAACCGAGCCTGCTCTCTCTGTGTCACGGAGGCTCTCCGCACTGCCAAAGCTCACTCTCTGTCCTCTGTTTTCATCCTCCTAGATCTATCCGCTGCCTTCGACACCGCGAACGATCAGATCCTCCTCTCCACCCTTTCAGGGCTGGGCGTCTCTGCACACTCTTGGATTGCATCCTACCTGGCAGGTCGCTCCTACCAGGTGGCGTGGAGAGGATCTGTCTGCACCACATACTCTCACCACTGGTGTCCTCCAGGGCTCGGTTCTAGGCCCTCTCCTCTTCTGTCTATACACCAAGTCATTCGGCTCCGTCATATCCTCACATGGTCTCTCCTATCATTGCTATGCGGATAACACTCAACTACTTTTCTCCTTCCCCCCT